ACACAATCACCCTATAACGCAACCCCAATGTCAATATGAAACCCACATCCCTGCTTTATTATATATACACATTTCACAAACCTTTGAAACTACTTAAGTAAACCAAATGGGTTGCTTTTCACAGAATAATCTTTATTTTCAATACCCAGCCAAATAATGTGACAATGTGGCGTTTCCCCACACAAAAATGCAACTTTAACAGACAACTCCAACTGAAAACAATTTAGCAATTGCTATGGTTAAGGCAAAGGTTATATATACTGTTAATTTCCAATGGGGCGAATTCTTCCCCCCCCCACACGATATCAGCTGCAGTGTGAACTACAGCCACAGTCTTCATGGCATCCAATATGTAAACCCTAATGGGGGGAGGGGGGAAAGAGTTATTCCATATAAAGTACAATACATGAATGGCAGAAGTGATGCTGTAACAGCTACCTGCTCATAAGCACTAAGATGACATCAGGACCCTTTTTACCCGTTAAAAGCCAGCATATTAGCATCCCCGCTGTATTTTAAACAGACCCAACAAGTTTACTCTTCCATCCACACATTTTGTTAAAACCCATACAGATAAGTTGATGTCTGCATGCTGCAGGCCAAACAAACATTTCCAGCAATGTGTAGAGTACCGTACCACTGGGGTGGTGCAGTTGTCCCAGGAAGTTGCCTATAAGGTTTGGGAAGCTGGGTTCACTGGGGACATCAGTACTGCTGGACTCCAGAAGGATGGAGCAGCAAAGGTATCCAGCAAGAGGTCTGCAGAGACAGAGGGAACCGCTGAAGTGCTCATGCTTTGGGCCTCAGAGGGCAGATCTGTGGGGCAAAACCCAACCTCATTACTACTAGCTGATACATAAAAGGACAAAGGAGACTGAGATGTAAGCAGTGCTTTGAATATTTAGTTATAACTGCATAAGCAGGAGTGAATTTGTTGAGAAGTGGTACCTTGGTTACAGACATTTCATCAGCTATGTGTATAATCTTGACAATTGTAATCAGAGCTATTTAGAGTCTATATACTTTGTGAATAAGTAGGAAAGTTTAGTCCAGGGGCGAGTTTCCCGAAGCCTTCTTAACACTACATCATTCGTACGTTCTGTCTTTTAACAGAACTTACAAACGACGTAGCGTTAAGAAGGTTTTGGGAAACTCATCTCAGGTCTCTTCAAATCTGGACCCCGATTCCAAATCCAGGCAATCAGTTAAATAACTGCTGATTCGGATTGGCTAGAGGCTTCACACCTGGCTGACAGGTAAGAAATGCTGGGGGGGAAAAATTAAAAAAAAACATTAAAAATCAGCAGTGCTTGGACCTTGAAGACCATAATCCGAACAGCTCTGGTTTAGTCAGAGTGAGAGCTGCCCATTCGGCACTACGGATACAAGTAACAGGCTTAGCACTGAGGACAGTAACCTTCTTTCATTCATCCAACAGCTTATTCTGGTTATAATCACAGGGGACCTGAAGCTTAACTCAGGCACTACAAGGCACAAGGCTGAGGTACACCCTGGACGGGATTCTAGTTCATTGCAGGGCACATGCGCACACTCGTATACAATGGGCAATTTAAGGATGCCAGTTAGTCTAACTGCATGTCCTTGACCTGTGGAAGGTAAGCCAAGAACCCAGAGAAAATCCACGCAACATGAGAGCTGGCAAACTCCACACTCAGGGCAGCCGTGCTACAGTCACTGAGATGCCCTTCGTCTTCCTCAAAGCTATTAGACCTCAAGTATTGTGGGCTCTAGCCTAGTATCAGCTTTAAGTATGTGGAGCTTGTGAATTCTCCATTTGCATAGGTTTCCCTGATTTTCTTTCCCATATCAGTAAATCCATATAAGCCTTCAGCATATAATGGACTGGTAGACTGTCAAAAGTCTCCTGGAAATGTATAGAAATTATAGTAGCCTGGAGATCCTGGTATCTGAATTGCAATCTTGAAGACATTATGATCACAGGCAGGGTGTATACATGGTAGGTCTGGGTGATACAAAATGAGAATTTTCAATATACTGGCCAAACTCTGGTGACTTGTCACAGAACAACTAAGGGGTGTCTCATATTTTAAATTCTGATTTCAAAAATGCACTCAGAATTTTGCCATTGCGCATAGTTTTTGCGTGACGTCATTTTTGGCTATATCGATAATTCCTTTAAATTTTATTGAACAGGTATACTAAAAGTTTAATTTAGGAAAAAAATTTGCGAACAATAAAACTTTAAAGCAGTAATACAAGTCTTTTGCCATAGTGTACCAGCTATAAGACACTAGGGTACTTTGAGACAGGATCCTGGTCTCTCTCGGATGTAAAAAGAGAATCCCAGTATGTTTGCCAACTTCTGCTGGACTCGAGGGACATCACTGAGACAAAGCACAGCAGAAAACCACACACACACACACACACACACACACACACACACACACACACACACTTGTATCTTTTAGATATGTCACTTCCACCATGCACATACAGTATACTCTAAATTCAGAGCAAAGTTTGTGTGGCACTAAAAATCCTTGCGGGATAGAAAAATTTTGATTAGGCAATTTCAGCAAAAAAAACTGCATGATTCACCTAATTTGATTAATATGATAGAAAGTATTTCTTGACCAGCGTAAGGAATGTTGCTTGATAACACACATCACAGAAACAGATGCAATTCCAACCAGTCATATGGTAGTCTTTTAAGAATGCCCAACCCATAAACGCACAGGAAGGTTTATGGAGTTAGTGGAGTGCTGTTTTGGTAATACATGCGAGTTATGGAAGAGATTAGCACTTCCTCAGAGGAAACTGTCACGGTCAGTGAAGAAAGCGACAGTTCAGCAGCCACAGCATCTTTTAAAAAGGAAACCTTGTGGATAAAAGTAATAACATGTTGATGGTATAGCGGTGATTTGGCAATTTAAGCTTTGCTACTATGTAAACTGTGCTGAAAACTTTTGACAACTAAAATTGGAAATACTGCAAACTTATTTCACAACTCGAAGGATCGCCGTCCAGTGCAGTACACACAATGCAGGAGTTTATGGTCACAGAAAATATTTCCATTTTCTATCTGAACAAACAGGCTTACTCCCCATCAATAGAATTTGCTGGGGGGGGGGGGTGGGGATAACTAAAATAAAAACTATTAACATTACTACTACTACACCTAACAAAATGAATTTTATTTAAAAGGACAGTAGGGGCCTGTGTCAGGACAAATATCACACCCAGGGGGGGCTGTCGTAGGAGTAGTACCACGGTTTTAAGGGGAATCCTAACGGACCCTTAAACAAAAATGGGACATTGAGGGAAACAAATAATGACTTGAATTTTATTGTGATGATCATCAGCCTAATATGAAAAAAAAGAATTGAGGAAATATTTAGCCGTAATCACCCACCCCTAATATGTGACATTTTAAAGTAGGGTGTATGGATCTAATGACCAATAAAACATGACACCACAAGCCAGTGGCAAATTCACAACAAGACCAGAAATTCAGATTGCCAACACCCTCCCTACCCCCCCCCAACCCCCAACCCACACACCCCGCTCACCGGTGTGTGGCTGATCGGAACATCCCGTCCCCTCCGAGTTATCACATGGGTGGGTAGAAATGTCAGTTCTTTCTGCGTTTATCAATGTAGAATCAGCACCTTACAAAAAAGGGAATGTTTGTGAAGCAAGTTTTTTGGGGAAAAAAATAAAATCAATAAAACTACCAAACACACACACACACACACACAGGGGGAAAAAGACAAACAGACAAACATACTTACTCTTACTCTGCCCCGGTCCAGGGTTGGAGCTCAAACCCTTACTGAAGAAGAAAGGAAGGGAGGAGGAGGGAGAAAAGGTGTCAGTCTAACTGCAACATGGAAATAGCATCAGGTGCAGAGTAGCCAGGTTCATGAGGTCATATGTAAAAGGCCTGGTTTTTAGCCAATAGCGGAAAGGCAGAGGGGCTGAGGGAGGCTCTTTGCGTGAATCACCCAGCCCTGCTCCTCTGTTGCTGGCCTTTTTGCGCCTCGTCCTCCTCATAGCTCTTGTTCTGACACTGCTGCTTCCTCAGGTGCGTCTCTAGGAGCCACCTGGAGTATAGCTGCTCTGGAGGGTACAGGATCTGGACAATATCAAGTCATACTTCACTGCCCTTATGTACACAGACACTGCACAACAGATCACCATGACGTATGAATACAAACTTACATTGAATCCTTGATGGTGGCAATTACTGAATCCCATTTGATCCATTTAAAGTAACGCAAGCAAATTATTAATTATACACAGTCTCGCCAGAGCAAGCAAAAAACTAACCTCCCTGTACTGGTGTCCCTTAGCAAACTCCTGCACATTCTCCAGGAAGGCTATGGTCATTTCCAGCACAGTCACCATATCACTGCGGGTACCCTGTACTCTGGGTAGGAGATCACGGAGCTTATTGCAGCTGATGGTGATTCGCTTCCTAGGCGAAGAATGCAATAAAAAATCCATACTGCTGCAAGATAAAACCAACAGCCTAGCTGCAGGGATGGCTACTTGGGTCTGAAATAAATGTATATTATTATTATTAATATTATTATATATGTGGGCTAAAATTTTTTGCGCTCGAAAGAGGTGAAACACAAATATAAACACATTTGCTTGACAGACTTAATGTGTTTTGCACCAAGTGGTTGAGTTGCTTCTGCTGGGGAAAAGCAAACTTAACAGAAAAAAAAAAATCATGAAGCTTCTGGAAGCAAGACAGTCTAAACAAGGAATCAAGAGTGAGTTACATATGTGTAAAAACTGTATAACGTGACTACAAGGCATTGGTCTAGAACCACCTCTGCTATCTGCTTAGCAGTGGCTGACAAATCCCTATACAATTTATATGTCAGGTGCCTTACACAAGTCTATACCATTTTAGGAAGTAAATTTGGCACATGCAGAAAATTATAATTAAGTGATTTGACAGCGCAAAGCTTGGAGGCAGAACCTGCGGATCCTCTCTGTGAACACGCACGCCTTTTTGATGTGTGCCAGGGCTTGCAGATGCTCCCGCCGCATCTTCCTCTGGAAATCATTGAGATTCTTCTCCTCATCCGATTCGCTGGAATCAAGCCTTTCGCAAAATTATAGGGAAAGGGGGGCTTCACAAGATGCTGGGGCGGTAACCGTATTAATGAACACTATTTAAATTGCTTTACATACTTGTTATCTACGTTGTCTGCCAGTTATTAGCGTTTATGTACCTAATTTCACTGTGTGCAGAATTATTAGGCAAGTGTGTATTTCACTTATCTTCTGAACCCACTAATACTTTGAGTCCAGATGAATCTCTAATTAAGAATCAATGGTTTAAAAGCAGCAAAATGTTCAGTATTTGGTCTAAATACTTTTTGTCTGATAAAAATAGGAAAACATAGATACCTAATTTCCTGTGCAGAATTAAGCAAATTATTATAACCATTAAAATGCCAGAGAACCTTACAGAGAGCAAGAAAAAAAAAAACAAATAGTAAAGTAGCAGTCAGAGGGATGCAAAACGATCAAAACTGCCAGACTTGAAATGTGATCACTGTACAATCAAGTGTTTTGTTGCCAACAGCCAATGAAGACTGAAGAGGCTTGTAGAGAGAAGATGAGACACAAACTGCCAAAGTTCTGTGTCAGATTAAAGGGGAGACTCCCAGAAAAACTGCAGTCTGAACAGAATCTCCAGACGTTCTAGGTGCAGTGTGCTGCGTGACATTCCTAAGGTCATAAACGCTGAAACATGGCCTCCACTCAATAAGGCATGTAAGGTATAACATTAGAATGGGCACGGACACGTCTCAAGACTGATATGGTACAAAGGTTTTGGGGACAGATGAGATGAAAGTGACTCTTAATGGAGCAGATGGATGGAGAAACTTCAAGCACTAACAAGGTGTTGGAGGAGAGATGACATGGACTGCAATTATCAGTGATTAACTTGTCATACCTTTCTGACTTGCAGACGGTGTAAAAATTAACCACAAGGTCTACTGCCAATTTTTAGAAGATACCTTCTTCAAACACTGGCACAAGAAGAAGTCAGCAGCTTTCTAAAAGGTTATGATATTCCTGCAAGACAATGGCCCTCCCTATGCATCAAAGTATTTCATGGATTGGCCTAGAAAGGTTTGAAGCATGATTGAATTATGGCCTGTCCCCCTTGATTGCCTGACTCAACCTCATTGAGAACTACTGGGCCTTACCAAAGTGTGAGATTTACCAAGGTAGCAAGCAATACCCTTCTCAGAGCAGCATCTGGGAGGTGGTCCTAGCTGGCTCAGCTAATATAGGACATGATCAAATCAAAAACCCGATTGGTTCAGTGGGCAACAGGCTCATGATATTCATTGAGAAGAAAGTTGGCTATACTGGGCATTAAACTGGGTGAAGTGGGCTGTATAGAACGGCTGATAGCTTGTTATTCCTTATATATTTACTGGATAACAAAAACGGTTTCTTATTATTTCTGTTGATGGTGAAGAGAGAAAATCCACTTAGTTTGTGATTGCCTAATAATTCTGCACACTGCTAATCAAGCGTTTCTTTTATTTTTGTTTGTGAAAGTCAAATGTAACATTTTCTCTCTAAATAAATTTACTTCGTGCACAAGAAAGCTTCTGAATTCATTTTAATAAGTCTGCCCAACTTTTGCTAAAAATGATCTCCAGGAGTAGTACTTGCCTAATAATTCTGCACACAGTGTACCATCATTCAGACAAGAAATCTTAGGGCAAATTTGTATTTTATTCCAATATAAACCTAAAATTAGCTACATCAAAAAAGTTGGGGTAGTCTGCAAACCCTACAGACTATTTTCAAGGTCTCGATTTGTCTCTAATTGAAAATCTCACGCCAGCCAGCTGAGGAAAGCTGGCAACCATGAATCAATAGTTAAATATACACTAAAAGAAAATAAAATGTTTTAAATCTAAATAATCTACCTACCTTACAGAGCGCGACAGCTGAGGAGGCAAGAGGATAAGTTCATTTTGGGACGACGTCGCAAAGTGATCCATTTGACCGTTTAGGGCTGTTTGAACCACTAAACAAACTTTACCCCCTCACTTCTTTGTGTTTATCCGTAAAGAACTTCAGCTTTTTAGAAGCTCAATGCATCGATTGAAAGACTACCTTTTAAACACATATGACGTTAATTCTATCAACACATATTATTTAATTTTTAACAGCTTTGCCCCGGACAGAATTAAGAAGCGACGCGCGCATTGCTTAAGACGACGTTTGCTGATTGCAAATTTCTGCAGCCTATGTTCCGGATTTGGGGGGTAGGCATGGTACGTGACAGTAAAATTCTCCTTAAGCGTCTGCATTGTTCTGACTGCTAATGTCTAAATAGTTATATTAATCAACATTTTGTTTAACGCATGCAATATTAGTACTATATTTAAGAATTTCCCGGAAATGTTTACTTTCATGGGTAAACCGAAACACAAAAATGTAATGTACTCCCGCCCAGAATTTTGTAACCAAGAAATATTTTCAATTGACTTTGGGTATTATGGTTGTTAGATAAAATTTCCCTTTCCTCGCGGCATAAATATCCCACAAATACACAATTCTCGCGCCAAATTTGACAAGCAGTTAAGACAACCAGCGTAGAAATTTCCACCGATGACCTACCATCAGGATCCACAAGGAGACGCCATTTACTCAATTTTGTCCATACCATTTCAAGCCACTTACGCTAGTCAACGTAAAGGGGACACGCACAAACATATGTTTCCTATATATACAAACCTTTTAGTTGTTCCACAGTTGTGTATATATAAATTTTATTCTGTTCATGGAAATTTCTTTACACACTGCATTGTAACGACCCCCTTTTCAGCTGTTTATTCAGTCTTTCAGTTTTTTCTACTGAAAGAGTAAGACATGTTACAGCACAAAAGCACAAACATGGTCAATTTTTGATCACACTGCCTAAGGCACTCAGTCTGCTTGCGTGCTGTTTATCTCGCTTACATTAATATTAGATTGCCAGCACCCACTGGTGCACTCCAAGGTTAGACATTATGATCAGCAAACAAGAAGGTATGACATTTCAGGCACTAGAAGCCTGCACTGATATATTTTAGGATTATTGTGTTTTTATATATCATGGCTGTTTTTATATATCATGGCTGTTTTTCCAAGCTGCTAATTGAATGGACAGAGGCATATCTGAGCCTTGCCAATCATATGCTATATTCTGCTGGAACTCAGAGACCCAGATCGGCAAGTTATGCAGCCAATAGCCATTTTAGGATTTTGGAGGATTTTAGGATTCTTTTTCTCAAGAATAAGACAATGTCTAATAGATACACACGCACGCACACACAGACACACACACACATATATATATATATATACACACACACACTCATACACACATACACACACACACATATATATGTATATGTTTCTTTTATTCGTCCTAATACTTGTCTTTGTGAGCATATAGGTACCATGTGATGGACTGGCATCCTGTCCAGGTTGCACCTCAGTTTCATGCCCTCAGCTGCTCAGGATAAGCTCCAGCCCTCCCTCGCCACCCCCACATCACGACCCTTACTAGGATAAGCGCTTAAAAGATAGATGGGTGTTACTTTTTTCAGCAAGTGCCCAATCTTTTTCTCACGTATTCAGCAAGGCAGACTTATAATCCTCGCTCAATCAAACTGTAGTTACAGCTTCAGCGTTACATCGGTAGGGGAACTAGTTGCGCCCCCAGGGGAGTCTTCGCCTAAAGGTCTGAAAAGACCACTGTTTTGCTCAGAGGTAAAAGCAAAAGAGCTGAGTGAAGGATAAAAGGAACAATGCCAGTCTGAGAGTTGGTGGAGTCAGCTTGAATCATCCCCAAATGTCAGCACGTACTGACAAGAAGAAACTTCAGGTTGCACATGCTCTGTAGCACAACACCAGAGCAGGTTCAGCTACTCTGTCTGGCACTCTGAAGGCTGGTGATGTTCTGGGTAACAAACTTGCAGTCTTTAGCCATGACCTCTAGTTAGAATGATAAACTGGCACTTACATAAGCAGGTCTGGATCACAGGTGACTAACCTGCCCATTATGATATTTTTATTTTAACAGAAAACTCAAGCCCTGTAGTCAGGAGGCTCTAGATGTCTTTGAGAGGTCCCATGGAGATCATTAATATAGACTGTTATATCCAAAGAAATTTACAGAGCTTACAGCTTTATGCTTTTTTATCTCCTTGTACAGCTGGTTTCCCACTGAAACAATTCAAGTGAAGTGTTTTGCTAAAGGTTATAAAAGCCGATTCCCTCCGAGGAACAATATGTGCAATAAAAATTTCACATTATGTTTTCTCGCATGAGGGTCACAGATGGTAATTTGCAGTTTCAGACAATTTCCAGAAAGGATTTCTCTGACATCAGGACTACTGTTTAACACTACACAGCAGCACGGACTCCTGGAAAATTTGTGTGGTATGAACCCAGTGTTAAAGCTGGATCCCAAAATATACAGATGGTCTTTTAAAAAATATATAATGCACAGATAGATTGAAGGCAATTATACAAAACATATAGAGATCAGAGAAGTACCAAAACCAATTTGCAGAATGTATAAATTGTATGTAATACAAACAGAAACACCTTGTGACAATGTTAGGGATTAGATTCTCTGTAGAAGTGCAAGTTCTCTCTTGAAAGTGCATGTAGTGCAACTTGTATCACACAGTGAGATTCCCTTTGAGATGCAGAGGTCGATGCGTAAGTACAGGAAGAACAATGGAATGACCCTTTAATGCCTGTCGCCATCCTGTTCCCCGCCAGGCCTCAGCTGTGTCACCAACTTATAAACAAATGTCATCGGTATTATAGTTCCATCCCAAGAGCCCGATTAGTCTGCTTGGTGGTCCACCTAATATTCGGCCTTCAGCTTCCAATTTCCCCGCCCTTGACTTTGCCCCCCAATTCTAGGCATCCCCTCTTTCTTACCAGGTTTTGAACTGAGTCCAGCTGGCAATCGACACACCATAAATGAGCTCGCTGTTTTCCATCTCTTTAAGGTTGGCAGATTATGTAATGAAAATTGAGGATTTGTACCTGGAAAGTCTTTGTAACCTGCCTGTACGATTCTTACAGCACCTTCTGTCACTTCTGTGTAGCACTCTTTACACTGGTGGACAGAAGCCATTTCACTGCCAGTGGATTCACATGAGAATGTGCGATGAGTAAAAGGTAATAGAGCCCTTAATAACACTTCTCAAAGCTAGCAGGACTCATATTGCTCTTTCTTAGCTCTGCATAAGCGGAAGTTCCAGTGTAAAGGACTGTCTGGTCTCTTTAAACCTGAGTGCTCAGACCTCCTTCAAAGTGCATTGGACGCAGCTGTTGCATTCAGTCTTCTCACCTTGGCCGCAGTTCCCCACGTTCTTCACAATGGTTGATAGTTGTACACAGTCTTCCACATCTAATATCCCTACATCAGTCATATATATTAGATTTCTCTACTACTCACCTATTATATATGATTTTTCCCAGTTAATGTCATGATAATCTTGCTTGACCTATTACAAAATAAAAAAAAGTATGAAACTTTTTTTTCCTGTAATTTGATACCTATCTCATAGTACATGCTTATAGTGATGTGGCAAGCAATAACCATCTACATATGTACTGGACAAGAACAGGACACACAGAATAGTCTTAGATGCCCAAATAACCTTTTAACAAACCAGGTAAGAACATTCCCACAGATTGAATGCACTCTGGACACCTTTAAATCAGCTCAAGTCACATACATAACTGTCCATATACATAACTTATCATGGTCAGTTAAGGTAACAGTGAACTGGTTTGTCACAACAAGTAACCAAAGTAAATGAGTTTGGTAGTTTTGCTATAAATATGGCCTTGTACACACACACACACACACACACACAGGTTTGTAATTATATCTTGTATTCATTTCTATGGGGAAAACTCTAATCCCAACATGATGACCTTAACCCCTACCCAGCCCTGACCTTAACCATAAGTAACCAAACAAAATACGAGACTTTTGGCCTTTTTAGTTTTTTGATTGCATTCACAGATCTTTGTGGGGCACCATACGTCAAAACAACAGATTTTATTTCATTGTGCGGGACATTTGGTTCACACAATGTAATATAAACATAATCCACACAAACACACATACATCTTTAATTCATATGCACAAAACAGCTGATGCACTGTATATAGACAGCCATACACAGTAATACAACGAATTAAACCTTAGCTAGAAATGAACTGGTGTGAAATTTAATCTAAGTTAATCCGGGGTATTTGCCATCCATTTTCAATAAGCATTTATCCAAATAGATTCAAGGTCGGCTGAAATCTCTAGGAGCGTGTAATCTCTCATAGCACACAGCATAAGGCAGGGACTCTCAAAAATGTGAATTCACTCACACTGCCTCATATGGCATCATGTGACTGATTCACCTGAGTTGCAGTTTTTAATATTTCAACTGCATATTTCAATTTTTGATATATTTGATATTTTTTATATTATCAAACAATTGAAATAAGTTTATAGACATTATATTTTCCTGTGTATAATGCACTACGATCTCCCAGTTGTCTATCCGATGTATCATGGGGACATTAAAGCTGAAGAACCAACTGTTGTTGTGTATAAATAATTTAAAAAAAGTTACATATATATTATTCTTAACTTTACCAGGAAGAACCTCAATTTTCAGAAGGAGGATCGGAGAAAAGTGTTGTGATTCTCCTCATTATTTTTCTGAATGGCCACAACAATATGTTTATTAAAAGAAAACATGTGGGGTTGATTGTTTGGTGAAGTATTACTGTTTTACCAGAGCAGTTCAACAGTTCTATACATGATTAAATTATTTAGTTTTTGTCGATAATTACTGCAGAAGAAGAAAAAATGCTAATGACATTTTGATTTTTTGACACTAGCATTGTCAGATGGTAAATAAGGTTCAACTTTTAAAATATAGCAGAGTTTATAGCTTCTGTAAGTCACAAAACAAAACCATGCATACATTTTAATTTGAAAAAGACTCATAATATGGATTGCTGCTCTTTGTGCATCAAGTCGTCTATTCTAGACAAGACAACCAAACAGAACAAATTATAGAGTGGAAATTGTTTATGGGAGTGCATAATGAAGACTAAAACAAAAGGGATTTTTAATTAATAATTGGAGTAGAATAAGAGTCGGCAAATCTCTGCCACCAAATGTAACAGACAAATCTCAACATTATTCTTTATTAGAATACACCAGGGATACAAATAAACAAACATCACCAGAGCACTAAGCCATTGCAGTCATGATGGTGTTTGTGCGCAGCATGCTAATTTCACGCATTCTCTTACAAAAGGCTAAGAAGGCAGACCATGCATTTAATGGGATACTCTAAGGGTATAAACCTGATGATGTGACATGAAATGAGGGATAAATAGACTAGCGTCAGCTCATGCAGGCACCCAAACACACGACACAAACAAATTTGCATTTACTAAACTGACATTTCTCCTCAGGCAGACATATAGGGCTGATAAAATAGTAGCAAATAAGAGAAGTAGCGGTAACTCTTTACTTGACGGGGCACAAATGATATACTGTAGC